TTTGTACTACACTATGTTTACGCTGTACTAGACAATGTAGTGCACTGTTTGTACTACACTATGTTTACGCTGTACTAGACAATGTAGTGCACTGTTTATACTACACTATGTTTACACTGTACTAGACAATGTCTTGCACTGGGCCTAAATTAGAAAGTTTATACTACACTATGTTTACGCTGTACTAGACAATGTAGTGCACTGTTTGTACTACACTATGTTTACGCTGTACTAGACAATGTAGTGCACTGTTTGTACTACACTATGTTTATGCTGTACTAGACAATGTAGTGCACTGTTTGTACTACACTATGTTTACGCTGTACTAGACAATGTAGTGCACTGTTTGTACTACACTATGTTTATGCTGTACTAGACAATGTAGTGCACTGTTTGTACTACACTATGTTTACACTGTACTAGACAATGTAGTGCACTGTTTGTACTACACTATGTTTACGCTGTACTAGACAATGTAGTGCACTGTTTATACTACACTATGTTTACGCTGTACTAGACAATGTAGTGCACTGTTTGTACTACACTATGTTTACGCTGTACTAGACAATGTAGTGCACTTTTTTTACTACACTATGTTTACGCTGTACTAGACAATGTAGTGCACTGTTTGTACTACACTATGTTTATGCTGTACTAGACAATGCAGTGCACTGTTTGTACTACACTATGTTTGCGCTGTACTAGACAATGTAGTGCACTGTTTGTACTACACTATGTTTACGCTGTACTAGACAATGTAGTGCACTGTTTGTACTACACTATGTTTACGCTGTACTAGACAATGTAGTGCACTGTTTGTACTGTTGACAAAAGATACAAATAAAGCACAACACTTTTCTGTACAGGCCTAAACACAGCCACCCACACACACACACAAAAACAGGAAATATCTTAAAAAGGTCCGCCATTCACCCAGAAATTATAACGATGGGTGAAAATCAAGTCCCTCAATGAGCAGCCTGTGTCAACATGACACCCTCATGAAGAGGTGGCTCCAGCCCAGTTAGTAGTCAGCTCTATACTAACATAGATAAGACTATCAGGGGAGGAGTGCGAAGTGAGACCACAGATAACAGCCATGATTATAGAGATCAAGTACTTTTTAGGTGAGGGTGATGACAGTGTAAGATGTTTTGTGAACCGTGGTAATAAAATCACAGAAGATCTCAGTGGAACATCTTAGCAGACAATCAAAATGAGGTGATAACGGGTTGTTTAGGCCAGACCTAGCGCAGTTAGTTCCCAACAGGTATCTGTCATATGTGGGTGTGACTAAATGTATGTGATGTACAAATCCATGTGATTGTATATATGTGATACAGATTCCATGCAACTGGACAGATGTGAAGTACATATATCCATGTGATTGGAGGTATGTGATGTACAGATATCCATGCAACTGGATGTATGTGATGTACAGATATCCATGTGATTGGAGGTATGTGATGTACAGATTATCCATGTGACTGGATGTATGTGATGTACAGATATCCATGTGATTGGACGTATGTGATGGACAGATATCTGTGTGACTGGATGCATGTGAGCAGATGTGCTGGTTAAAGTTATTGTGATACTTTTGTGACAATGGTGACAGTTATTGTGATCTAAGAGGTGTGATACTTGTTACAGTTATTGTGATACATGATATTGTGATGTGGCACATGTGTTGTACCGGTTAAAGTTATTTGTACTGTAATTTCTGGTAAATGTTAAAGTGATCATGATGTGAGATTTGTGTGGTGCTGGTTAAAGTTATTGAGGTTCTTGTGTGGGAAAGATTAAAGTTACTGTACTGCAACATGGTGGTACTGGTTAAAGTTACTGAGGCATGTGTGGTACTGATTACAGTTACTGAAATGCATGTGTGGTAAAGGTTAGAGAAGTTACTGTATTGTAAGATGTGTGGTAATGGTTAAAGTTATTGTGATGTGACTCCGTGGTACCAGTGAAAGTTATTGTACGGTCACATATGTGATTATGCTCGAAGTTATTGAATTGTAACATATGTGGTAGTGGTTAAAGTTACTGTGTTGCGATATACACCTAGTATTGGTTAAAGTGTTAAATGTTACATATTAGTGTAACCGCATCGCCAGATACTCAGAAGCTGCCCTGAGTTGGCTGATGTCATGACTACTACAGCAGGCTGTTCTCATGTCAGGATATCCCATAATGGTGTCATGTGATGACAGCTATCCACCTACACAAAATCTCAGATTATTACATTTGCTAGAGTGTATGTTGTGTTACTGTTATAAATCTATAATAGCATATATAAAGCTATAAAACAGAAAGTTAGTAGATAATAAATCTATCATGTAATAAATTTGCATGCTCATGGCCATTAACCTCGCTCACAAGCTAAACACCGCAGAAGTCACAGCACTATAGAATACCATATTGGTTAGCACTTCAAATATACTCAAACTAGGTTATAATGTGAATTCAGCTGACCGGTCCCAGCTCTCTTTCTCCTAAAATTTCTGGCAGCCATCGGAAAAGTCTGCACAAATCAGAGTAGTACCAGGCAGCAAGAAGTCAAATCACTATTTGAGTTCGAACTCTGACCTAATGTTTATTAGTCTGTGTGCTAACAACATCACTGTACAAGACTAGGTTCTTGACATTTGATGTGAGGCGGTGTGGGGGGAACAGTATATTTTCATTAAGACATAATGGGTTCTGATGTTCTGGTTTATAAATCATTATCATCATCCGGTTGGGACATTAAACATCACTCAAAGCTTCAGGTTGATTATTTCATTCCAGTCTATCCGGCACAGCTTTTTCAATATCATGGATGGAATCCAGTCAACACCTTTGTCCTGTTTCATCAATGTTCATCTGAAGTTTTCTTGTGGATGTCATAATTTCTTCAATCCATTTCTTTCTGATTATTTAATTGTTTCACTGATAATGCCATTTTCTGTGACCTATACACGTTGACACTTGCAGCTGTTCAGACATTTCTCTCATTTCTTCATCATGTGCCCTGCCAGCTGGTGTAAGTGCTAATGCGTCTCCACAGATCCCGATTTCTGGTTGCCTGGAACAGCTCTCTTGATGATATCCCTCCATGCCATCATTTCAGCCCATGCAGCATCATTTCTCTTGGTCTGCCTCTACCCCTTGTTCCAACTGATCTTTCCAGTTGCCAAGATGTTCTCCAATGTCTCTGTTCTCATTATGAGGCCAAAGAACAGTGTTTGTCTCTATCTTATTGTTGTATATAGAGATCTACTTTTATTAGCTTCTAGCAAGCAATCACGTTAGTTACTCTGGCCGTCCAAGATATTCGTAACATTCGTCTCAGAAACCACATATGTTGCTTATTTGAATTCATCTCTATTAATTTTCATAAATTTCCCTATGCATTTGTTTTCCAACTGTTTTAACTGTCATACAAAATATATACTACTTTTTTTTTTCACAATCTGATACTTGTGTTAACTGTTTAATCTTTATATTTACTTACATAGTTTTTAAAGTAACATTGCTGATTACATTACTGGTAATAACTGTCTCATTTATGTATTTCAATTATGTCATCTTAATTTCTTTTCAGTTATCCACATAAAATCATCATCAGTTTTTCTGTGGGGTATTAGTCTACCGAGAATACTGATATTATAGTTCCACAACTTGGTACAACTTTTCTTTACTGCAGGAGTTCTGATACAACTTTTCTTTTCTGCAGGAGTCCCAAAATACAACTTTTCTTCATTGTGGCATTCCTTTAATGTTATTTTCCTGACTGCTGCACTCACGAACTACAATTTTTCCTGACCGGGGAAGTTCTGAGATACAACTTTTATTCTCTTCACTGTGGAACTTCTGAGATACATTTCTTCACCTCACTGTGGAACTTCTGAGATACATTCCTTCACTTCACTTTGTAACTTCTGAGATACAAATCTTCACTTCACTGTGGAACTTCTGAGATACATTCTTTCACTTCACTGTGGAACTTCTGAGATACATTTCTTCACTTCACTGTGGAACTTCTGAGATACATTCCTTCACTTCACTGTGGAACTTCTGAGATACAACATTCCTTCACTTCACTGTACTGTGGAACTTGAAACTTCTGAGATAAAAACAAATTTGCATCTCTTCACTGTGGAACTTCTGAGATACCATTTTACTTTTCTTCCCCATGGAACTTCTAAGACACAACTTTTCTTCCTTTTATTGTGAAAATTCTGAGATGCAACTCTTTTCTTCACTGTGGAACTTTTGAGTACAACTATACTACTCTTCACTGTGGAACTCTCCCGAGTTACAACTGTTCTTCGTCTTTTCTTCACCATGGCACTCCTTAACATCAATTTTTCTCTCAGATTATTCCTCACTGTAGGACCAACATGCCATCCAAGTTGCCAAGGCAACATTTTAACTTATTACTACCTAACCAGCGTCACGCTTGAGGAAACACTGGGAAAATATGACAAACTGGTGACGCGTAGAAGGTTTATGCCTCAGTGATCACATGCTACAGGTTGGAAGCTAACAGTTCCCGGGGTCGGCAACAACTGTCAGCAGCCTCCCTTCTCGGAGGGGTATAACCTTCCAACATGGCTGCCATAAACTTCCACACTTAATCAGTGTTGGAATGCGGCCGTTTTCTTTAAGTAACACACATAAATGCTTCGAAAGATAATATATTTAACAACTCTAAAGTTAAAAGAATATATTTAAAGCGATAAGTTATTTAAATCTAAATGATAAATAACTTTTACGGACACTTTACCGACACGACTACTCGACCGACAGCTCGGAAAGGGATTTACGGTAGCGCAGCCATTAGATAAGGCGAGATAGCTAACTGGGTGCTCTCAATTATCAATTTGTTAATCTTACTGCAACAAAATTCAACCATTGGCCTAGACTATAGATAAACTGTAGTTTAAATACGAAATTCTATATGAGATACCGAACTTATTCTGGCGAAAATTAAATCATCTTTCAAAACTTACCTTCGTCTAATATTTTCTCCGTATGTATAAATACATTTGGCAGTGCTTGAATTTGTTTTTTGTCTTTAAGTAACTGTGCTAGATACTCAGGCGTGTTACGATCGTCTCTGTTAGTTTCAGTTCCCATGTTAGAAAGCGTAAAGTTGAACAGCAAATGTAGCCGAGATAAGAAAACAACGTTAGACAATTGTGAGCAAGCTACAACAAATCTACAAAACTACAAGACTTCTTCTCCTCGCCCCGCTTCACGACTGCTGGGCTGGCTGATTGACCTGCACGTGGGCTCAGTGCGCATGCGTCGATGTGGCTGAGTGCCTGCGGGAACCTACCAACGAGGGGGGGGGGTGGTGGGTATAGAGGGCAGGAGGCTGGTTCCTTCTCACACGACGGACCCGGGGGTGGGGAGGGGGCGGTGATGAAGAGAAGGAGACAGAGTGCAGAAATGTTAATCTCTTTTAACTCTTTCAGGAAGCGGGAACTCATGTACACAAAAATTAGCATTGGCCTGGTGAGAAAAGTGTTGGGAAAAGGAGGGGGGGGGGGGGGGGTCTGGGCTCCCACGAGCATATGGGCCTAATACTTGTCAGAGTATCTCAAGTGACTTGCCATAAATAACATACTTTTGACGTCTAAATTAATTGAATGTGATATGAAATTATATAATCTCTTTCTCCCCTATTTTCTCACCTCAAACTATCTATCTATCTATCTATCTATCTATCTATCTATCTATCTATCTATCTATCTATCTATCTATCTATCTATCTATCTATCTATCTATCTATCTATCTATCTATCTATCTATCTATCTATCTATCTATCTAATCTATCTATCTAATCTATCTTATCTATCTAATCTATCTATCTAATCTATCTAATCTAATCTAATCTATCTAATCTATCTATCTATCTATCTATCTATCTATCTATCTATCTATCTATCTATCTATCTATCTATCTATCTATCTATCTATCTATCTATCTATCTATCTATCTATCTATCTATCTATCTATCTATCTATCTATCTATCTATCTATCTATCTATCTATCTATCTATCTATCTATCTATCTATCTATCTATCTATCTATCTGTCTGTCTCAAGCACTAGATGGCTTTTAATGACAAATTTGTACTGTACAGAAAAATAATTTTTGACAGTTTGAAATCTGTTTCCGGAATGTTGTAGGATTCTGTGGTTTAGGCGTTGCAAACGCGATTCGTAATGCCAGGGTGCCGGGTTTAATCCTAGCTGCAGGCGATTTGGCAGTAGACCTTCTTGCGTTTAGTATTCGATAGGAACCTACTGAACGTACAATTTGTATAGAAAAGCCCTCACAGCCACACACACACACACACACAAATTATGGGGTTGGTTCTGCAACGTCCTTTAACGGATACTGCCCTAAATAAACAGTGGGGGAACCCTTGAGGCCGTTAAATATTATATATTAATAAAGTAACAGAAAATGTATTGTTCGGCACTCATATAAAGAAGTAGAAAAATAGAAGAACAGACTAGAAAACATAAAATTCGAAAGCTATAATTGCCGTGCCGGGAATCGAACCTGTCACCTCCAGACGGCGTATGCGCCTCGCTATGGAAACCAGTGCACTAAGAACATGGTCAACTAGATACTCAACTAGCTTGTTCTTTTCCAAAACGATCGATTTTCAGGACTAAAACTTATTATTATAATTTTGTATGTGCTTCATAACCGAATAGGCAATATTGTTTGAATTGGATTTCGTGGTTGTGCATGGACAATGACATCCTGAAGAATACTGTCTTCAATACAACAGCAAAGATCACTGACTTCGATTCAATAGCAAAGATCATTGACTTCGATTCAATAGCAAAGATCACTGACTTCGATTCAATAGCAAAGACCATTGACTTCGATTCAATAGCAAAGACCACTGACTTCGATTCAATAGCAAAGACCACTGACTTCGATTCAATAGCAAAGACCACTGACTTCGTTACTTTAGCAAAGACCACTGACTACGATTCAATAGCGAAGCAATTATGTGAAAAGAAATGCCGTAAATGCTTGTTATAATAAGTTTGAAGTAACTTAATACTATTGCCTCTAATCTATACAATCTATATTTATGTAATTTCACGTTCACACATTCATACACATGTAATTTAATTTAACATTGCAAAAGGAGTGAGCTTTGCAGTGCGAGACACCGCAGTATTACTCTGACCAGTTTTCGAACTGGTTTGTCGCGACCACAACATACAGTTCTAACCGTTATCCGAATGAACGAATGAATTGTAACAGGCTAATGTTTAGCCTGTTAATAATTTTGGTTTGGCTGCAATTACGAATTAAATTGACAGGACTGGATATTAGAACTCTCCGTAAGTTACCAGTAGATCGAAAAGTTTATAAAAGACCGGTGCAGCAGAAAAGAATCTCTTGGCTGTTTGCTCGGACCAGTTGCCCTAAGAACATGTAGTCCTCCTATCATTGTGGAACTGTACAGGGTTCTCAACGCATCGTAGGTACTGCGGACTGAGTTGGTAGAGATGAACTTGTTCACTTATTTCATGTTGGCCGTATGTTCAGTAGATAGACTGTGTTGTATCTAGGTTTAATGTGAATCGTCGCCAGAGGT